AATCCTCCTCCTCCTCCTCCTCCTCCTCCTCCATCATCATACCCGTATTCTATGTACGTACTGCGGGGAATTCCGACCCCTTTTTACCAAGAAGGACAAAGACTTTCCACTTACATCTCGATAGCGCTCTCTGGTATGTTGTCCGGTATTTTTGTGAAGCCCTTGTCTCTACAATCCACGACCCCGTCCATACAGCGGCACTGCCGGGGGCACAAGTTCTCCTCCATGCACTCCAGGGAGTGCCGGTTCTGGAATGTAGCTGCAAAAGAAAGAAAGGAAAGATCAACATCTTATTCGTCCATTCTGTAATTTAGTCCTACAATGGCGCATACCAAGGCATTTCAAGGCATAAAAAGCCAATCCGCAGAAGCAAAAGGGAAGCCACCATTATATTTGCCGTGGCGAAATGTCATGTTTTGAAGCTAGGAAGGATAACGTTGCTCAAGCAGATATTTCTCCCCTCCCCCCTTTCCGCTATTCTCCAACCTCCGTTGTTGCTGCTTAAAATTCACCAAAATAAACTGGAATGAAACGAAACAAAAATCCGATGTTCTTATTCTACTTTAAAGCTGCACAGGTAGGGGAAAAGCCCAATCCTAGATTTCATAATGTATATTTCCATCGTTCTAGAAGTAAGAAGCTAAACGACAAAACAGCCTATTTCCTCTGCCTTAAATTAGCCCTTCAAAGGCTACATTATTTGAAAGTAAAATTTTTTCATTGCCTATAATCAAGATTGAGCTTTCTGGTCATGTTTCCAACTTTTACATCCCTGTTTTTTAAATTTGCAATTAGACTTGAAGATGCCGTAAGAAAAAAATCTGCGTTTAACATTATGCAGATATTTCAAACGGTATCTATGTCTTGGTGGCACTTGGTTTGTTTTGAACATACTACACAATTCCCACATGCCTGACAGGCGCTTTTTAGGTTTCCCCACCTTTTTGATTCTGGTAAACCATTGTTAAGAATTACATGAAACGTATGTTTTTCGTCAGTCAAGTGTGAAGAAGTCAGATTTAATGAATTTGCTTTTAACGTTTATGGTATTGAATAATTGAAACAAAAGTACACAGACAAAGCCAGTAGATAAAACTAAACCTCGGGAGAACAGAGACGTAAGTATAAAAAACTAAAAACCAAAAAGACCTAAGACGTTCCCAGGGTTCCTCTCTACCCACACGTACAAGAGCTTCAAGCCGGAAATCGCACGTCTCATCGCTTCCTTCAGTAATAAAAAAAATCCGAGAGCGCGCTCTGCCTTCGACTTCAGGGGATCACTCACGGAGAGGAGATAAGACCATAGGCCCTTGCAGAGCAAGGAATGCACGACTCTAGACCCCGAGCCGCGCGATCAGCTATCATCTCGGGCCATCAGTATCATTAATTCCTTTTTTTATTATCACCTCCCACCCCTCCTTCATACCCAAAATTACACCTCTTCAAAACAACAACGAGGAAAAAACCTCCATGAAACGACCTAGACCAAAAAAACAACAAAAAACAAAAAAAAAGAACAAAAAAAAAAATCTTACCACCCTCGTTGTCTCCCTGCTCATCTCAGCCTCTTCTCTTTGAAGTTAAAATTTATTATTAAAAAACACAATTCAAGCTCTCATTGGCACACGTTTCCCCTTTTAACTAGTACTAGACTAAAATTCATGACTTAAGATCTGAACTTGTGCTCCCCTAAACTATTTTTCCAGGAGCACTTTTCTGTACCCAAAACTCTCTAGATTAGTATTTCGGTGCTTCATTATGTTTGATAAAGAATAGCACTTCTTTGTAATGGTTAGATTACTAACAATGAAGAAGTGGAGCACTTGAATGAATCGTTTTTGGACAACACAAAAATCTTTGCTGTATTCTACTAAAGACAAAGTAATACAATTATATGACTGACCATACTTAGAACAGGACCTCCCGTATTGGAATTTTTAAGATGGGGATTCCTCTATTGAGATCTATATGCCTTACCTGCGTTGGAATAGTTGACAAAAAAGACTAACCCAACAAATTCCAAATTCAATTTTTTTTAAATCCCACAATCTGGGCCGAAATGGGAACAACTTATTTTGAGCGTAGTGGCCACAGTGATAATCATGCCCGGTTAGCAGCAGGAATCAAAGGCAATGATACGGCACAGTTTAAACCAATATATTTATACAGATAATTTAACCCCCCCCCCAGATTTGCATATTTCACAGAATTGCATTTTTTTTACCTGCCATTCTAAGTTTCATATAAAGAAAAAACATCAACAACTGCAATATCTGAATGAATGGCGAAGTTGCATTTCTTTCTTTTTTTAAAATGGCGAAATGGTATTGGTTTAATGCCTCTATCAACACTATTGGGTTATTTATGAGGCGAGACCTCCGAGTTTAATGTCCATCTCCGAAAGGACCGAGCCAAATGGGAATTTCATGTAAAGTGCCTTTCCCAAGGACATCATGTCGGATCGAGCTGAGGCTTGAACCCCTAACCACTAGGCTACCAACTACCGACACTATTACGTTTCGTTTTGAAAGTGCCCCCAAAGCAGTGCCAAATCAAACACTATCGAATCATGAACAGAATGCACGCCCTCAATGAGTTAATACGATTACCAAACTGACCGTCACACTTGAAGTCAATCTCCTGCAGTTCAGCGATCTCGGCGTTTCTCAGATGCATCGGCTGGTGGCACTCGGTGAAGAGCGCCAGGGTCGGGTTCTTCCTCAACCAGCGCGCCAGCCATGCCAGGTGACAGTCACAAACCATCTTGTTGTCGTTGATTCGCCTGGGGAGAGCGGGAAAAGGGGAGCAGCGGTTAGTTTTGAAACGTTTTGTCCAAGATGGCCACCAGTTGTCGAGGAGAATAGTGGTTATCTTAAACAGGTGTGTCATAAATATATTTTAAAAAAGCAAGGGGGGAAGTGAGAAGTGTTTGTTTGTTAGCGAGATTGTCAAGGACAAGCGCCCAATAAAACAAGTTCGAATGTTTTTACCCATTTATAGGTCATTTTATCTTGGATATCTTTCATCAGGTATGGGTTTAACATGTTTTTACGCAAAGAAAATTCACCCTAGAAGGTCGACGAGCGGGGATGTTAATAAAAGATATGCTGGCAAAGGCATATTATCTGAAGTCCTGAAGTCCTGCTTAACTATTTTGTTCTCTGATTTCAGTTAATAAAGAGTTAAGAGTCATCTGTCCAATTATGATTATATGTATGACCCGACCACACAAACAACAGAGAGGGTGGGGTGGAGGGCAAGGATATAGACGAGTGATTCAAAGAGCAAGACGAACGGAAGCAGATATGACCTGGTGATGGATGGGTAAGTGGTTTATATATAAAGATGACAAAAACGTGATTAAATACGGAATTAGCAGTCTAATCAGCAGTAAGAAACAGTTTCCTTTGACTTTTGAAAATAAGATAAGAATATAATTAAAAGTCAGTGAGTGAGTGCGTGAGCAAAGAGGTTAGCGAGTGAATGGGGAGTTAAACTGAGATACAGTTTACGACCAGACGACATACTTGATAGTTGCCTCATATCTGCAGGACGAAACGTACAGGGGCTAAAACTACACTTAGAGGGTGTAAAAAGTATAAAATATCTCACTATAGATCCAACCTTCGCGTGTAGCAATATATAATTAGAAAATATTTTCATAAAAGGTGGGGAATCACGTAGGTCTATCTTATTTGTTCAGATCTGTTGAGGTTTTGAGGTAAGTGTTTTGTATTGCATTCTTTCTGTGTCAAAAACTCTTATGAAAGGGAATCAGAGGATACAAAAAAACTAAAAAGCAAACAACTATATAAAAAAGAGCAATACTATATCTCATAACAACATAGAGAAAGGGCAAATTTTAGTTAACGAAACGTGAAAGTCTTGAACAACTTGAAATGTATAGACAATTGACATATCATTTTTCACAAAGAGGACGTGAACTCGTAATTTAGATGAAGCTTTTAAAATATTGATAAATGATCTTAGCTCATCTTTAGTGCCCTTTGCAGTCACTACACATGATGGGGTACATTGAAGGCCAGATGGTACTGTCACGCCGTTTGACAAAAGAATCGTACTTTCTTTTAGATTTAGATTTAGATACAGTAAGAGTATATCGGTATTCGCAACACAATAACTTTTTTATGTGCCGTAGATAAGAGGTGTTACAAGAAAGTAACAGACTCAAAAAGGAGTTGAGTTAAGTCGGATGGATGTTTGACAGGAAAGAGGAGTGCACCCCCCAACCACCCACGTACTTTCTTTTGAGGATATCAGTTTTGAAAGATTTCGAAGCAACTTCTCTTCACGCCCCCCCACCCCCACCCACACACTCGTTTCTTTTTTATGAGGAGCAGCTGTAGTAGAAAGACGAAGTCTCTTCTGCGATGTAATATCTCACGTATATATTTCCAATCTTAGGTTCTCATTAGTACTAGTGACGTTATTTTTATGTCTCCTTTTCATCTCTTTTCCACAAGTTTCCGTTTTTTTCTCACAACTGGGTTATGCCTTAGATCTTTATAGGGTTCCTACATAATAAAAAAGAAGCAAACAAAATTTTTTTAAATCCAACAAAAAACAAAACAAACTCAAACAAACAATCAGAACAAAACCCATAAAATTAAAAACCAACTAAACCAAAAAGAGTTAAAAAAAACAACAACAAAAAAACAACAACAAAACAACAACAACAAAAAAACAACAACAAAAAAACAACAACGAAAACCCCCCAAAACGAAACAAAAAACCGAGTCAAGCAAATAAAGATAATGGGAAACAGGACAACATTATCGAAATACGAAACAAAAATTGTTCAAAATTTGGTACAACGAACAGACATACTGTCCCCCCCCAATTAAAACAAAATCCACTTTTAAACAGGAACGTTCTTCATCTGCTGTACATTCTAAGTTGACCCGCTCTCACTGACCACTTAGTTCACTTGTGACCAAGCAAGAAGCAGGCGCGATCAAGAACCTTTCGACTTTCACAGATTCTCATTGTGTGCACACTCCCTAACTTTCCGCACGACGCTCTCGGTACGTAAACTGTGTGTGGTCCGCTCGCAAAGCCAGAACGTCACACAACGTGTTTTCCTAACGATTTAAGATAACACAAGATCACCAACGACGAGGCTTGCGCTGCTACAAGATGTACATAAACAACAAAGAGTCGGAGGGGTCTTTTGGTGTGCAGTTCTCTTACGAAATTTGTTTTAAAGTTAAAGAGAAGAACATCCCCGATCTTCTCGATAACGGTTATTTAGTGCTCGGAAAGGATGAGAAGGAGGGTACAGATGTAGGATCTGCTAGTGGCGCCCTCTAACCACCCACAAGAAAATAAACGATACATCCTCCATCTGTACCCGCAGCTAACAGCCTTGTTTTTTCATAGTATTTATTAGCTCACACATATCCGAGGTGCGAACGGAACTTTAGCAACCGATTGAATTTTTTTTTTACGTCTCAACAATTTCTGTAATGCTTCGTTGAAGTCGGGTTTCCATGTTTAAGTAACACTGAGATATCTCATGATATGTATGTTCACAAATTCACGCAAACTTATCATTTCGCCAAGTTCGGACATTTCAAGTCCATGAAAGCATGTCTGTATTCGTGAACGAGGCTGAGAGAGTGTTTTGTCTACCTCACGCTGAGCCTAGCCTTGTAGTCTGAGAGAATGTTTATACTGCTATTTTAAATGCAATTCTAATGCGTTGAACTGGATCTAATTCAAATCTTTACCGGAAAAAAATTAGTGAAAAATAGATAGCTAGATAGCTAGATATGTAGCTACATAGATACATATATATAGATACACGGATACATAGATAGATAGATAGATAGATAGATAGATAGATAGATAGATAGATAGATAGATAGAAAGATAGATAGATAGATAGATAGATAGATAGATAGATAGAGAGAGAGAGAGAGAGAGAGAGAGAGAGAGAGAGAGAGAGAGAGAGAGAGAGAGAGAGAGAGAAAGCGATAGCCCAGTGGACACAAAGAGTATTGTCACAATAACAACGAATACAACTGCAGTATAAAGTGCCCGAGGAAAGAATGCACCGCCTAATATTCCCTGCACATTTTCGGATTACCCGTAGCGCTGATGCTTCATCAAGATTGTCACTCAGGGAGAGCCAGTCGCAGTCTTCCTTGTATCCCTACCGTCATAAAACAGACAATGTGGAAGACACTTCACCGCTGGGACCTCACAGAGTGACAGCGTTTTGCCAGGGGATGTACAGAGGCAAGGCTGGGTGTCCCAGAGGGTCATTGGTTGGTCAGTACTCGGTCAAGCTTTTGAGGTGTGACTAACTCTGAGATTAATATCAACTGAGACCACAGGAAGAGCTCGTCTTGCAACGCAAGTGATACAGGGCAGAGGGGCTCTTGACACCTTAGAGAAAGGGAGAATAGTTGGTCGGTTTCGAAACGCCAGACAACCCAAAGATCACAAAGCAATTGGAATGTCTGTCTCAGAGGACTTGGTTTTAGAATGCCCACAATGCCATCAAGGACGTGTCCCCGTTCTGTATAAAGACGTTTTTGTCTCCTGAACTCGGTAAACTGTTTACTGGTCTTTTGTATGGTCATATTTTACCTGCACGGAGTAAAGAAATGTGTCACGTAGTAAAATAAACCGTGTACGTGTTTATGTAATATGTATAGATATTATGCTTGAGCTGCCTTTCGGTCACGCCAACGCTATGTAATATGTATAATCATATAATCATATAAGAGGCAGGGGCGAAGCGTCTATATAATCAAATAATCACTGCTTCCCTTCCTAATTTTGAAACATTGTCGCTGTCAAATTCATCCATACACGTAAACCTCTTAAATTAAATGAGAAAAGACGTTAATAATCAACAATGAACAGTATGCCTAACATTCAAAACGGTTTCACGGCCACAGAAATAGCCTCCTCACCCCTCTCGGGCCACTCCATAAGCAGTCGCAAGCTTTGGTCAAGTAAGCTTAAAGTGAGGCTGGAAGAGTCTACCAATAGAGTTGAAGGGAACATGTGCATAGCAGTCAAAGCTGTTTCATTGCCACATATACCCCGTTCACCCCTTTGGGGCCACATTTATAACCAATCACAAGCCCTGACAACTAACAATGGTCGAGTCTACCTCACAAATGTGAGGGGCACTAACTCCTAATAATCTCTTGACTGGTGCATGTGCTTGTTTTTTTCCTCGACTTTTTACCGTCCTATAATCAGATCGTGACCTCGATTATGACACCAGCTCCTGGCCGCGAAAGGCAAACAAAAACAGCCAAATGTGAAATTTAAAAAATGATAATTGTCATGTTCTACCAAAGAGTTAGACTGACTGGTAGATCTATAACATATAGATCTAGCACTGACATCTCTGCTTCTTTGCTTTGTGTTTATGTATTCACATCTAAAGTTAAATTTAATTTTAGTTGGAACTGATATTTAATAAGATACTTTCCCGATTATTTTGGCGGTTGAACAAACAATATGAATTCCGGATTTGTTTTCATTCACAACTCAGAGTCGCCGCCTCTAGTAAGATTCTTGTGTGATATCTACAGGCCATATCTGGTCCCGTTTCACTTTGATTACCGTGTCAAACAAGTCAGCCTTCGCCCCTGATAAGAGGAAATAAAACAATAAGATGCGTCGCTGGTATTTGTTGCTATATATAAGAGTTAGGGTTAGAAGAAGTACAGGGCAGAAACGTTCCTAATCCCGCTAACTACTGCAGTCTAAGAAGCTTTCGATTCCGTTTCTGTTTCA